TATATATATATATACATATATATGTATATATATGTATATATATATATATGTATATGTATGTATATGTGTATGTATATGTATATGTATGTGTATGTATATGTATATGTATATGTATATGTATGTGCATGTATGTATATATATATATATATATATATATATATATATATGTATATATATATATATATATATATATATATATATATATATATATATATATATATATATATATATATATATATATATATACCGTATATATATATATATACACTGTAAATCTGGGAGTGTTACCACAACACCGAAATCGGTGTAAATTCTTGCAGCTGTGTGGACACCGATTTAGTGTTTACTTACACTCATTTTGGTGTTAAAATACACCTTTTCAGTGTTAAATAGATGCAGCTGTGTGAACACCGAATTGGTGTAAATCTACACTACGAGTGTAAAATAACACCTCCGAAGATCTTTTCACACTCTTTTGGTGTAAATAGCTTGCAGCTGTGTGAACACCGATTTGGTGTAAATCTACACTACGAGCGTAAAATAACACCTCCGAAAGTATTTTTACACTGTTTTGGTGTAAATAGCTTGCAGCTGTGTGGACACCGATTTCGTGTAAATCTACACTACGAGCGTAAAATAACACCTCCGAAGATATTTTTACACTGTTTTGGTGTAAATAGCTTGCAGCTGTGTGGACACCGATTTGGTGTAAATCTACACTACGAGCGTAAAATAACACCTCCGAAGATATTTTTACACTGTTTTGGTGTAAATAGCTTGCAGCTGTGTGGACACCGATTTCGTGTAAATCTACACTACGAACGTAAAATAACACCTCCGAAGATATTTTTACACTGTTTTGGTGTAAATAGCTTGCAGCTGTGTGGACACCGATTTCGTGTAAATCTACACTACGAGCGTAAAATAACATTTCCGAAGATATTTTTACGCTGTTTTGGTGTAAAGCACCTTGCAGCTGTGTGGACACCAACTGGTGTTAATCTACACTACGAGCGTAAACTAACACCTCCAAAGGTCTTTTTACACTGCATTACGTACTTACTGAATACAGCTACTGTACTGATATGGTTTGTGATGTAAATGTACATCCAATTGATGTCTAAAGTAGCTATATTCAATATAAACTTAATGTAATGTAAAAATACCTTTTTGTATAAATGCTGCTTAAGATTGTATGTTATTAACTCAATTTAACTGAATTACTAAGTTAAAACAATGAAGAGAATAGAAAGTACAAATGTAAATTATATATTTTTAGAGTTTAAAACTATAGTCTATGTTACATATTTCGATTCAGTTGAATCATTTCAACATAGTTTATATCAGTCACAATCCAAATTAAAGTTCATATTACCAGTACAGGTGATTTGAAACCAATAGAATCTTTGCTGAATGGCACTTTGACACAGTCGAAGAACACATCACTATATTGTAGCGCACAAAATCTACAAAGGTTTTGGTGTGCAACTGTCCTTCGTTAAACATTAATGGCCAGCACGTTCCCTTGAAAGATAATTATTTTGCATTAGAGATTATTATAAAGAGTGCACTGTACCTTTTATGGGTTTATGAGAAAGTATCAAACAACTTATAGAACAAACCCAATCTAATTTTTTGTTGGTGACATGTCAGAGTAAATATTTGAGATTTGGGTAGAAAGTCTGGCTAAACTATCAACAAGTAACACTTTTTAGGGCAAGTCGAGTGGTTTAGGGCATAGTATGATTTAACAAGGCACATTGGCAGAGAGACCGTTTAAAACCAATTAACCAGAGGAGTAAACTTTTCTGGGATTAACATTTTTAGTCACAGTAAATAATAAACATAGTACATGTATATTTGGGCACTTTAAGTTTAATTCACTGTGAAGTTCTTTTGTATCATTTCAAATCAATATATTATAAAAAGCATCACTTTATAAACAGTTTATATCTTAATTGTGTAAACGTTCTCTGGTTAAAAGATTTATTTATTACAAGCTTTCGACTGCCAGTCTGCAGTCTTCGACGGGTCTCCGTCTGCAGACTGGCAGTCGAACGCTTGTAATAAATAAATCTTTTTAACCAGAGAATCCTGGTTTCGCTTCCAACATTTTTAAAGTTTATATCTTATTTTATATATCCTACATATATTTTATAATCACTCTATATCCAGTATTTGGCCGGATAATCTGGTAGGATATTTTCCATCCGTTCGGCATATATGGTATTCGGCTGGATAGTAAAATGTTCTATCAGGTGCATCCCTAATGCATAATAATTTCATTCTCATGGTAGCGGCAGGGAAATAATTAACACACAACTCTAAAGTTGCAATGACATACAATATGAAGTAACTGAAGCACATTTAAATTCAACCAGTTCTAGCTTGCTGTGTGTCTCAGGGTCTGTTATACAATGCCAGCTTTTCCCTTTCAGAACATGCCCTCCTGTGCCAATTTGTCTACAGTCCAAGTAAAATTTGTAGATAATCCTAACTAATTACCCAAAAACCTCATTAGCCTAAGTCAATATTTTTATTAAAGTTATACAATTGTCTTTTTTAAACTTTTTTCTCAGTCACAATGAGGGCTACCTTTAGGAAATA